CCTCTGCTCTGAACCCTCTATGGCTCCCATCCACTCTTTACGTTCCCTCCAAGCCTGTCCTTCCCACAGACAGCAGAGGGCGCCTGTGAGCACCCCAGTCCAGTCACGACCCTCTGCTCTGAACCCTCTATGGCTCCCACTCACTTGGGGTAAACGCCAAAGGCCTCCCTGTGGCCACCAAACCCCTGCACGACCTGTCCCTGTCACCTCCCTGCCCTGGTTTTCTCTCCTCTACTCGTTCAGTCTTTCCAATCGCACCGGCCTCGCTGCTCCTCAAACACACAGGCGTTTCTAACCCCCGCCTGCGCCAGGGGGCCATTCTTGAGGGAGCAGAATCCCCTGGCACTCACCTTGATGACCATCTCAAAGGTAAAGACGCCTGTGAAAACGTAGTCAAAATATCGCAGCACCTGCAGGGGATGAAAGCAGGGGGCAGTGGGTCATGGCTTGTCCCCAAGGAGGAGAGCCTCCACCCAGAGGAAGGAACCCAGGTGCCCTGTGCAGCTGGGCAGGGCGTGTACAGCACAAGGGCCCCTCCCACCTCGCCTCACAGTGTAGATTTGTAAGTTGTGGAAGAAACGGTCCAGCAGATGGCAGCAAAGTCCTAACAAAACCACTCTGTTAGGCTGGTTTGCTGGCCAATGGGAAGGGCACCTTTTTAATCTGCCCAGGCCAGGTGGGGTCGGCCTGGACGAACAATGTCCTGTAGCCTGGGTCCCCTTCAGGCCACATGTCAGCACGTCTCTGATGTGATGCTGTTGTGAGGATTGCGACGGTGTAGGCACAGTTAAGTGCAGGGGGAACTTGGTCTGATTCTTGTTGAAAGGTTGATAATTACAGAGGACCGCCACCAGAGGGCGACCGCGAGCACCAGAGTCAGGTCAGGACCTTCTCTGCTCAGAATCCTCTGTGGCTCCCACCTCACTCCAGGTAGAAACTGAAGTCCACCCCATAGTCCCCAAAGCTCTGCACGATCTGCCTAGTCACCCCCCTGCCCTCACCTTCTCTCACTCTCCCCCTCACTTTCGTGGATCCTGCCACCTTGGATGTCCTCACCTCAGGGCCTTTGCACAGGCTGTTCCCACTGTCTGAAATGCTCTTCCCCATGTCCCACCTGATCCCTCTCTCTTCTCTGTTGTGGCTTGGTTCATGTATCACTTTCTCGGTGCCCTTTCTGACCGTCTGTTTAAAATGCCCCTTCCTGTACTTGTGATGGTCCTTACCTAGCCTCTTCTCCACGCCCCCCCCAACACACACACACACACACACACACACCCTCACGGTACACCCACCGCAGCTCAGGGGCTTCGGACACCGTGTGACCGTCCTCATTCCCCGGGAAGACCCGGGAGCGGGCACTGCAGTCCTTAGATCGGCCATGGGCCTCACGACAAACCAAGCCCTCAGTCTGTTCAGGGCGCCATTCGAGACCCCCCTCTACTTGACAAACCCCTTGTTTAGTTATTGATAATCTCACTGTCCATGTTCCCCACGACAATGTCAGCCCCCTGAGGACAGGAATGTTTGTCCCTGTGGCATTTCCAACTCCCAATACAGGGCCAGGCACACAGTAGGTCCTCAAGAAGTGTTTGCTGAATGAAGGCGTGAATGGCTGCAGCTGCACTGGGTCCTGCGGGAGCTCTGGGCCTCTGGGATCTGTGTGGTCACAGTTCCCATTCTCATTATGTGTGGCTTGCCTACAACCTGAGGACTGTGCTGCTAAGACCGCCACCAGGGCCCTAGGACAGTGATGGCGAACCTATGACACGCGTTTTGAGGGGCCATCAGGGACCAGCGTGGCCAGGCACTGACTTCCTGGAGTGGGCGGCAGGCACAAGGGGCTGGAAGGATCTGGGCAGGCAGAGGGGATGGTGGAGGGAGAGCATTTCAGTCTCGCCAAGCAGAGGGCATGGCATGGCCACAGGCCTGGAGCTCTGTGAGCTCTGGGAAGGCAGAGACCATCTCGTACTGTCAAGCCTTGATGTTTACTCTGTGCCTGGCACATAATAGTTGCTCATTAAGTGGCAACTAAGTGAAGCAATGAATGGAAGGAAGGGAGGAAAGCAGGAAAGGACTGGGGGAAGAGCAGGCCAGATGGTCAGGTGAATCAATTCTGGAGAGCTGAGGAAGTTGGATAAGAAGAAATCAACAGTCCAGTAAGTCAGATTCAACCATATCTAATACTTAGATCCTTCTGACCTCCATAAATGACAACTTTCTATGGTTCAATCTCATCCAAAAAGGTTCTCAGTTTCATTTATCACAGGAGTAACGTAAAGCGAAGTCCCTGTGGGATTCCATTCCATACCCAACAGGTCGGCCAAATGCGAGAGCCGCCAGCATCAAGTGTTGACAAGACCAGGGAGCAGGAGGACCCCCATACGCTGCCAGTACAACCATCACAGCGTCATCCAGTAAACATCTGGTCACATCTGGTGAGCCCAACCAGTGCAAATTCTATGATCCAAACACTGGCTTTACACCCCGGGGAAGGTCATGCCCAGGTGTGGGGAGTGTGGGGATTCTGAAGTGGAGACCCTCCAAACGCTCATCAACAGGAAGATGAACAAGCGAGTCACTCCACACGGTGGAATATTAAACAGCAATGAAAAAGCATGACTGCCACTACCATCTCACAGCAGACGCCGCGCTGGGCGACAGAAGCAAGGCATAGCACGACTCCGCCTGTTTAGCGTTAGAAACGGGCAAAAATGAATTCTAGCGTCTAAGGACACATGTGCGGGTGGGAAAATCAGAGAAGCTAAGAAACACGCCTTCCAGAGGCAGGGCCATGGTGACCTCCAGGGCAGGGCTTTCCAGGGTCCACACTGCCAACATCTGGGCTGGGAGCATTTGCCTAGGGAGCTGCCCTGGGCACTGTAGGGCAGTGAGCATCGCCCCAGGCCTCCACCTTCTAGATGTCAGTAGCACCCCCAACGCGCCCCAAGTCATGAGAATCAAACATGTCTCCGCATGGTGCCCCTGATTTGAATCCCCCTCCAGAGGGAAGAAGAGGGGTGATCGAGTTGGCGCCAGAGGTTAGGGGCGGTTCCGTTCTACTTCCTGCTATCAAAAAATTTCTATATGTGACACGGCACCAGAGTTAAGTTAGGGTTTTTCAAAATGCTGACATGCCGAGCTCAAAAGGTTCGCCATCACTGGCCTAGGCCTTAAGGAGCTGCCCTGGGCACTATAGGGCAGTGAGCAGCGCCCCAGGCCTCCACCTCTAGATGTCAGTAGCACCCCCAACGCGCCCCAAGTCATGAGAATCAAACATGTCTCCGCATGGTGTCCCTGATTTGAATCCCCCTCCAGAGGGAAGAAGAGGGGTGATCGAGTTGGCACCAGAGGTTAGGGGCGGTTCCGTTCTACTTCCTGCCCCGGATGGTGGTTACATGGGTGTGGTGCACTTTGAAGTCCTTGCTAAATGGATCCCACATGTTCTGCGCACTTGAGGCCTGTTCTGGTTGGGCTAATAGGAAGAACTCTGGGAGGGGTCCCTGGGCATCAGATGGCACCATGTTCTTGACGAGGGGAGGAGGGCTTTGAGGGGAGAAGTTTCAACTGTGAGATGGAGTGGGGAACAGACCCTTTGCCACCCCTTGGGGGCTGGTTGGAGCCCTGCCTGGGTTCCCACAGTGCTGGGAGCTGCGGCCCCTCCAGGCAACAGGAAGATGAACAAGCGAGTCACTCCACACGGTGGAATATTAAACAGCAATGAAAAAGCATGACTGCCACTACCATCTCACAGCAGACGCCGCGCTGGGTGACAGAAGCAAGGAATAGCACGACGCCACCTGTTTAGCGTTAGAAACGGGCAAAAAGGAATTCTAGCGTCTAAGGACACATGGGCGGGTGGGAAAATCAGAGAAGCTAAGAAACACGCCTCCCAGAGGCGGGGCCATGGTGACCTCCAGGGCAGGGCTTTCCAGGGTCCACACTGCCAACATCTGGGCTGGGAGCATTTGCCTAGGGAGCTGCCCTGGGCACTGTAGGGCAGTGAGCATCGCCCCAGGCCTCCACCTTCTAGATGTCAGTAGCACCCCCAACGCGCCCCAAGTCATGAGAAAAGTTTAGGCTGTGTTTCTGAGTGAAAATATCCTCTTTCAAAACTTCATGTCAACATGGAAGTCTGCTTGGTGAGACCTGGCTGCCTAGGGGATTGCCCCCCCCCCCCCCCCTTCCCAAACAGAGAAACCCCACCTCAACATTCTCTCAGCAAGATCCCACATGTTCTACGCACTTGAGGCCTGTTCTAGTTGGGCTAATAGGAAGAACTCTGGGAGGGGTCCCTGGGCATCAGATGGCACCATGTTCTTGACGAGGGGAGGAGGGCTTTGAGGGGAGAAGTTTCAACTGTGAGATGGAGTGGGGAACAGACCCTTTGCCACCCCTTGGGGGCTGGTTGGAGCCCTGCCTGGGTTCCCACAGTGCTGGGAGCTGCGGCCCCTCCAGGCCCCTTCCCCTTCTCTGGTCTCCTGGAGTAGGTAGGGCCTTTGCTGAGCTCTCTGGAGGCCCCTCCTGTGGCCTGGGCCCCTGAGGCCCCGGGGGAGCTGGGCAGATAACTGACTGTGGCCTCAGCCCTGCGCTGGAGCTGGTTTCCTCCGGGATCCATGTTCTAATTATTTCCTCCCATTTTGCTCCCCAACCCCAGCCCTGCAGTAGGGTCCCCAGGAGGCCTGCCCCGCCTGCAAAAGAAGGGAAAGTGCAAGGTAAGCTGCCAACAGGAGGCCTTGATTTATGGGGCCTTCCGGCCTCGCCAGGCTCCTAACCTACTTAGCGAGGATGGCAGGGCCTCACTCCCAGTGGGAAATGTACCTCTGTGCTGGGCAGGGGGAGCCATGGGACAGGAGCTGGGGAGGGAGGCAGCGCTGCCAGCCCAGCCTCTGCCACACCCTTGCCTGCCGCTACCTCAGTTTCCCCTCTCAACCACTGGCACACACTCGTTCCTAATTGGGAGGCTGCCAGGGGGGCCAGACGCAGAGTAGGTGCTCAATGAATGGAGATGGTTGAAAAACACACACAGCAGTTTGGCCTCCAGGGGAGGTCAAAGTGGAATTCTGCTCTGTGACCCTGGACCAGTCACTTAACCTCACTGAGCGTTCATTGGATAGCTATCTATCCAATGTGGATACTGGGAGGGCTTGTATGTCCAACGCCCCGGGTGATGCCTGGAACACAGCAAGTGCTCAATTAACAGGGGCTGTTCACAGACCCCGGACTGGCCAGAGAGAGCTTTTTAGTTCTCCAAAAAGGCTAAAAGTTGCCCTAGCCAGTTTGGCTCAGTGGATAGAGTGTTGGCCTGGAGACTAAAGGGTCCCGGGTTCGATTCTGGTCAAGGGCACGTACTTGGTTGCAGGCTCCTCTCCAGCCCTGGTCAGGACTTGTGCAGGAGGCAACCAATCAATGTGTTTCTCTCACATCGATGTTTCTCTCTGTCTTTCTCTTTCACTCTCCCTAAAAATCAGTGGAAAAATATTCTCGGGTGAGGATTAAAACAAAACAAAACAAAACACACACACACACACACACACACACACACACACACACACACACACAAGGCTCAAAGTTTAGGCTGTGTTTCTGAGTGAAAATATCCTCTTTCAAAACTTCATGTCAACATGGAAGTCTGCTTGGTGAGACCTGGCTGCCTAGGGGATTGCCCCCCCCCCTCCACATTCCACACAGAGAAAGCACAGCTCCACATTCTCTCAGCCTCACTCCCCACCCTCCTCCCTGGAACTCTAGCCATTTGCAGCCCTAGCCACCCTGGGCCATCGCTTCTTCACCAGGTGCACAGAGCCACTGCCTCCTCGAGGACCCTGCTCCCCAGAGCAGCCCCAAAGAACCGGAGCTTCCCCTCCCGACCAGCACGCCGTCCACCCTGGCTGTGAGCCTTTGGATGCAGGAGAAGGTGGCCCGAGACCGAGGAGCTGGGCTGGGAAGAGGGTGCGGGGTAGGACTCACGTTGTTCCGAGGCGCGTTGGGCTGCACGGGATCCTCAGCCGCCAGGGCAATGCTGCTCATGGCGATGACCATGAGGATGCACATCTCAAAGTAGCGCAGGTTCAGGATGTAATGGCACAGGCGGCGAAGGCTGTGGGGGCAGAGGGGCGTGCAGAGGTCCACTCAGACCGTGGGCTCGCAGCCCTTCCCTTCTACCATCTCCTCTGCCATCGAACGCTCCCCGAGATCTCTCACTCCCCAAGTCCCACAACCAACAAACTATCCAGCTCCTACATCTGGGGGTGTACAAGGATCTAAAGCCCCAAGAAGGCAGGGGGCCCTCAGCTAGGGAGGATCTTCACGTGCCCTGTTTGTAAGTTTTTATTACTTCCAAACAACCCTCTTGGAGCAACTGATTCCCAGGCTGCGTTGTCCTTGATTTTGTAGGAGATGAAAAGGTTTTTCATGCAGAAAATGTCCTGCGGTTAAATAAAACTGGGGAACTCTGGGTTAAGTAGATTTCTTAAAAAAAAAAAAAGAGTTGAGTGACCATAGCAAGTTACTCCGGCCCTCTGTGCTCTCATCTGTGACATGGCCATACAATTGGGCCTAACTCACAAGAAGGTGGGGATCAAAGAGTTAGAGGTAGGGGCTCCAAAAAATTACTTAAATTATGAATCCCAAGCCTTATTAGAGCCTTTAATATGCTAATGGAATAATACTTAAGAACTAAACTTTTTAAGTGGAGCTAAAAGTAATAAACATGGGCTGCATGCACGGCAGCGGGAATGAGTGGTTAAGAACAGGGTGACGGGGTCAGTCTTGTCTGGGCTCCCCCAGTTGCTTCCCGTCTGACTTTGGGAAGGTGACTTCCCTTCTTCGGGCCTCAGTTTCTTCATTTGTCAAATAGGACTAAGTGTAGGACCAATCCCACAGGGTTATTAGGAGAATTAAAAATAAAATAAAATTGTAAAGCACTCAGAACCATGCCAGGCACAAAGTAAGGGTCACGTAAGTATTTCTCCAGTAAAATAGGTGATGCCAACTAAATAAGAAAGTAAACGGACAGGGTGAATCCCAAAGAGGCAGGTTACAGAAAGCAGTCTCCCCCCAGCCCCACCCCAGCTTATGGGACGCGAGTTCGCTTTGTCCAGAGCACGTTGAGGGACCAGAGTTTCAAGAAATACCCTTTGGAAACACGTAATCCTAACATAATGCTGAACCCCATGACAGGTGTGCGATGGACTTCTCTCCTGGGTAACCCATCCTCCCTAAGGATGCCCGAGACGAGGGCCAGGGGGCTCGGGCAGAGAACACCCGCCCACCATGCCAACCCACGAGGAGCCGGGGTCAGGGGTGTGTGGCACAGGGCCGTGTCTGAGAGGCACCCTCTTTATAGACAGAGCAGACGCGGATGCTCATGACCATGATTTCCCGCCGATGGCAGGAGTGGGTCTTTCCCAGCGAAATCAGTGCTTTATGACAAACTTCTATCTTATGTGACTCAGGAAAAGGGTGTCATTGAAAAATGTGCTCAATGGTCCGTTCGGTCTGGGAGGTCCCTCTCCCCCATCACCCCGTCTGGTCTGCTCTCGGGCCCGACGTGCGCGGTCCCAGCTGCAGGTCATACTCACGGGTTGGTCGTGGAGAGGATAAACATGGAGCTGTAGGGGGGCATGGGTTTGGGGCCGTCTTCCCCGGGGTCTTCCTCCTCCTCCTTCTTCTCTTCCTCCTTTTTTGGCAGTGGGTCTGGGTTGGCGTTTTTGTTCACTGTTGGGACAAGATCCAACACAGGGCTCTTGCCACAATTTCCCACAAGCCTCTGGGCTCCCGTTCACTCCCCAGAGTAGGCAGTAAGCTGCTGACACGGATACTATGCGCCAGGCACCATATTATGTCGTTTGATCCTCACGTAACCCTATGAGGTCGGTACTTTATGATCCCCATTTCACAGATGAGAAAACTTGAGGCACAGAGAGGTGAAGTGACTTGCCTAAGGTCACACAGCTGGGACTTGGCTTTGCCACCCCTTGGGGGCTGGTTGGAGCCCTGCCTGGGTTCCCACAGTGCTGGGAGCTGCGGCCCCTCCAGGCCCCTTCCCCTTCTCTGGTCTCCTGGAGTAGGCAGGGCCTTTGCCGAGCCCTCTGGTGGCCCCTCCTGTGGCCTCAGCCCTGCGCTGGAGCTGGTTTCCTCCGGGAGCCGTGTTCTAATTATTTCCTCCCATTTTGCTCCCCAACCCGGGCCCTGCAGTAGGGTCCCCAGGAGGCCTGCCCCGCCTGCAAAAGAAGGGAAAGTGCAAGGTAAGCTGCCAACAGGAGGCCTTGATTTATGGGGCCTTCCGGCCTCGCCAGGCTCCTAACCTACTTAGCGAGGATGGCAGGGCCTCACTCCCAGTGGGAAATGTACCTCTGTGCTGGGCAGGGGGAGCCATGGGACAGGAGCTGGGGAGGGAGGCAGCGCTGCCAGCCCAGCCTCTGCCACACCCTTGCCTGCCGCTACCTCAGTTTCCCCTCTCAACCACTGGCACACACTCGTTCCTAATTGGGAGGCTGCCAGGGGGGCCAGACGCAGAGTAGGTGCTCAATGAATGGAGATGGTTGAAAAACACACACAGCAGTTTGGCCTCCAGGGGAGGTCAAAGTGGAATTCTGCTCTGTGACCCTGGACCAGTCACTTAACCTCACTGAGCGTTCATTGGATAGCTATCTATCCAATGTGGATACTGGGAGGGCTTGTATGTCCAACGCCCCGGGTGATGCCTGGAACACAGCAAGTGCTCAATTAACAGGGGCTGTTCACAGACCCCGGACTGGCCAGAGAGAGCTTTTTAGTTCTCCAAAAAGGCTAAAAGTTGCCCTAGCCAGTTTGGCTCAGTGGATAGAGTGTTGGCCTGGAGACTAAAGGGTCCCGGGTTCGATTCTGGTCAAGGGCACGTACTTGGTTGCAGGCTCCTCTCCAGCCCTGGTCAGGACTTGTGCAGGAGGCAACCAATCAATGTGTTTCTCTCACATCGATGTTTCTCTCTGTCTTTCTCTTTCACTCTCCCTAAAAATCAGTGGAAAAATATTCTCGGGTGAGGATTAAAACAAAACACACACACACACACACACACACACACACACACACACGTGTACAAGGATCCTAAAGCCCCAAGAAGGCAGGGGGCCCTCAGCTAGGGAGGATCTTCACGTGCCCTGTTTGTAAGTTTTTATTACTTCCAAACAACCCTCTTGGAGCAACTGATTCCCAGGCTGCGTTGTCCTTGATTTTGTAGGAGATGAAAAGGTTTTTCATGCAGAAAATGTCCTGCGGTTAAATAAAACTGGGGAACTCTGGGTTAAGTAGATTTCTTAAAAAAAAAAAAAAGAGTTGAGTGACCATAGCAAGTTACTCCGGCCCTCTGTGCTCTCATCTGTGACATGGCCATACAATTGGGCCTAACTCACAAGAAGGTGGGGATCAAAGAGTTAGAGGTAGGGGCTCCAAAAAATTACTTAAATTATGAATCCCAAGCCTTATTAGAGCCTTTAATATGCTAATGGAATAATACTTAAGAACTAAACTTTTTAAGTGGAGCTAAAAGTAATAAACATGGGCTGCATGCACGGCAGCGGGAATGAGTGGTTAAGAACAGGGTGGCGGGGTCAGTCTTGTCTGGGCTCCCCCAGTTGCTTCCCGTCTGACTTTGGGCAGGTGACTTCCCTTCTTCGGGCCTCAGTTTCTTCATTTGTCAAATAGGACTAAGTGTAGGACCAATCCCACAGGGTTATTAGGAGAATTAAAAATAAAATAAAATTGTAAAGCACTCAGAACCATGCCAGGCACAAAGTAAGGGCCATGTAAGTATTTCTCCAGTAAAATAGGTGATGCCAACTAAATAAGAAAGTAAACGGACAGGGTGAATCCCAAAGAGGCAGGTTACAGAAAGCAGTCTCCCCCCAGCCCCACCCCAGCTTATGGGACGCGAGTTCGCTTTGTCCAGAGCACGTTGAGGGACCAGAGTTTCAAGAAATACCCTTTGGAAACACGTAATCCTAACATAACGCTGAACCCCATGACAGGCGTGCGATGGACTTCTCTCCTGGGTAACCCATCCTCTCTGAGGATGCCCGAGACGAGGGCCAGGGGGCTCGGGCAGAGAACACCCGCCCACCATGCCAACCCGCGAGGAGCCGGGGTCAGGGGTGCGTGGCACAGGGCCGTGTCTGAGAGGCACCCTCTTTATAGACAGAGCAGACGCGGATGCTCATGACCATGATTTCCCGCCGATGGCAGGAGTGGGTCTTTCCCAGCGAAATCAGTGCTTTATGACAAACTTCTATCTTATGTGACTCAGGAAAAGGGTGTCATTGAAAAATGTGCTCAATGGTCCGTTCGGTCTGGGAGGCCCCTCTCCCCCATCACCCCGTCTGGTCTGCTCTCGGGCCCGACGTGCGCGGTCCCAGCTGCAGGTCATACTCACGGGTTGGTCGTGGAGAGGATAAACATGGAGCTGTAGGGGGGCATGGGTTTGGGGCCGTCTTCCCCGGGGTCTTCCTCCTCCTCTTTCTTCTCTTCCTCCTTTTTTGGCAGTGGGTCTGGGTTGGCGTTTTTGTTCACTGTTGGGACAAGATCCAACACAGGGCTCCTGCCACAATTTCCCACAAGCCTCTGGGAGTAGGCAGTAAGCTGCTGACACTGATAGTATGTGCCAGGCACCATATTATGTCGTTTGGTCCTCACATAACCCTATGAGGTCGGTACTTTATGATCCCCATTTCACAGATGAGAAAACCTGAGGCACAGAGAGGTGAAGTGACTTGCCTAAGGTCACACAGCTGGGACTTGGCAGAGCTGGGATTTGAACCTGGGCAGTCTGGCCCCAGAGCGTCCCCTCTCAACTACTCTACAGCCTTGAGTCTGCTGGGACCCTCACAGGATATTAACACAGACCTGTCCCCATCTCATGATGAACTTCATACTGTCACTTGAAGGCAGGCAGGGTAGGTCCAAATATCCCCACTTTACAGGTGAGGATACTGAGCTCACCCACCATCAAAATGCAGGGTTTCTCCCCATTAACACACCCCTCTTGACCAGGGCCAGGTGCTACCACCCTCCCAACATTGATTCTGTGGCTTCCATCTCACTCTATGTCCATGGGCAGGCTGAGCCTCTCTGAGCCTCAGTTTTTCCATCTGTAAAATGGACACAATGACAAGACCCACCGTGTAGGACTGTGCTGAGCATTTACAGGACAAACCCATGGACTCTCTTGCACAGAACTGACACTAGAAGAATTGGGCTACTATTATCATCTTGGAAAATAATAAGCTCACTGGGTCATCTCCAAATTCCTAGTGCTTCTCAAGTCCCAATCTTAAATGGGGAATGGAGCGAGGGGTAAGAACTGCCAGTCCCTCCAGAGCCTAGACCTGCACTGAACAACATGGAAACGTGCTGGTCCCAACGGTGGAGTGCTGTGAGCACAAGACACACAGATGTCGAAGTCTGAATGTGAGAAAGAGAATGTCAAGTAGCTCGTTAATAATTTTTAAAATATTGATTTTATGTTGAAATGGTAACATTTTGGACATAATTAACATTTTGGGTTAAATATAACTTATTAGTTTATTTTACCTACTTGTATTTCCTCTATATTTTTCATTCATTTCCTTCATTCTTTCCTTCCCTCCCTCTCTCTGTCCCTTTCCCTCCCTTCCTCCTTTCTGTCTTTTAATGTGGCTACCAGAAAGTTTAAAATTATATGTGGCCTGGCTGGTGTGGCTCAGTGGTTGAGCATTTATCCAGGAACCAGGAGATTGCGGTTCGATTCCCGGTCAAGGGCACATGCAGGGGTTACGGGCTCGATCCACAAAGGGGGCGTGTAGGAGGCAGTCGATCAATGATTCTTTCTCATCATTGATGTTTGTATCTCTCTCTCTTCATCCCTCTTCCTTGTGGAAATCAATAAAAATATATAAAAAAAATACAATTACATATGTGGTCTGTGTCACATTCCTTTTGGAAAGCGCTGGCTTAGAGAATCGCATGACTTTCCCAAATTTCCAGCAGAAGAATCCATTGCTCCTCAAATACGGTGGCTTCCTGGCTCTCTAGTGGGGATTCGGGATGCAGGAAATATCATGAACCTTACTGAGCATGTGCAGGCCAGCCACTCTGTGCATAGTATCTCATTTAATGCTCCCACCCTGCAGGGCAGAAACTACATAGATACCCATTTTCCAGAGGAAGAAACTGAGGCCAGAGAGGTGGGATCCTTGTCTAGGGTCACACAGCTGAGCTTCTAGGGACTGAGCCCAGGGACACTGGTCCCCACCAGTGACAGTGGAGGGTGGAGTCTCACCTTGGACGACGGTGTGGTTGAGGGGCGGGCAGGCCGGGGGGATGTCCACCGCGGTGTGGTCGGGTTTCCTGGCAGTCTTAGCTGAGTTGGTCTGGGTGCTGCTGGGGTTGGTGACAATAAGGCTGTTCTCGGGGGTTTTGGGGGGGCCGGGGTTGGACGGGTTCCCCGGGTTGTTGGGCATCTGGCGACCGGCGGCGTTCTGAGGATTGGTGGCCATGGCAGACGGGGCCATTGTGGGGCCGGGGTTGGTGCTGTTCCCCATCTTGGCTGGGCTCTGGGGCAGGCCGGCGTGGCCGAGGCTGTCGTGGGGACCGGCCGCCTCTGCGGTGGCCAGCTTGTTGTTCTTCATGTTGTCGATGTCCTCGGCCGGCGGCGGGTCTTGGCGGCCCAGGTCCTGCTGGATCGGCCGGGTGGTCGACAGGTTGGGGCCCGACACGGGGACCCCGGAGCCCTGGGTGTCTCTGTGGGAGGCAGGCCAACGAGAAAGAACCCAGAACTGAGTTAGAATAACAGAGAGGACATTTCTGGATGCTGCCTGAGATGCCATCACTCAAGGGTACAACTTCGACAGCGAGAGGCGCTGCCCAAGCTCCCCAGCGCCTGGCACAGCGGTTCTTGGTCCCCGTGTAAGTGTAGCTAACTGCCCACCTTCCAATGCACTGCTTCCCCTGCCAGAACAGCTGTTCCCCAGGGATGCGAAGTCAGAAGGAAAAAGGACTTTCTGCCGGAGCTTGTACCACCCAACCCGAAACTTCCAGCCCTGCCTTCGTGCCCCATTAGCTCCCAGGCAGGACTGGGGACACCATCTCTGTCGGGGTGGGGTTGACTCATGGCCTTAAATGCCTGTAGTATGTATGTCCCTCCAATATTCCACTCGGGAGGAGCAGGCAGTATACCCACGCAAACATATTACAAAATAACAACAGAAATAATAACAGCAGACACTTCAGTAACAGACTTGTAATAAGCCCTCATGCTCAGCCCTCAGAGGGACAATTACTAGCACTCTTTTACAGACGAGAGAATGGAAGATCAGAGAGGTTAAGTTTCTTGCCCGAGGCAACAGAGCTGGGAAATGAATGGGACTGACACTAGAAGATACAAGGGTGGTGGGCAAAGCACCCAGGCAGAGGGGACAGCCAGTGCAGAGGCCCTGCGGTGGGGACGTGCTTGGTGAGCGTCAGGAGGCTGGTGTAGCTGGAGGTGGGGGGTGGGGGAATGAGATGAGCGCCAGGCAAATGTTTGGTGACTTCCTGTCAAATGATAAATGAATGTCCCCATTTCTCAAACGAGGACACTGAGGCCCAGAAGTCCTCCAGGTCCAAACCTCCCTTCAGTCCCCGTGTCCTCCCAGCGGCACACTCACCCCCACCTTGGCAAAGGCCCCGGTGAGGGCGGCGCAGGTCAGGGGCCCATCTGGTGCCTCCCGGGCCCAGACCCTCTCACTGCGTGTCTATCGTCGCTGCCCCTGCTCTGCTCGCCGGCCCATGGATCCAGGTGGACCTGGTTCCCAGCCACTTCCCAGAGGCTTGGCTCCTGAGTGTGATCCGCTTGCCTTCACACACCTCCTCGGAACCCTCGATCCTCAGATAAGGGGCCTCATCGTCCCCCAATCCCTGGGCCCTGGCCCTGGCAAAGCTGGTTTCCCTGGAAACAAAGGACCTCTGTCGCTTATAATCTCAGTGACTCCTCTCTCCAGAGGGCTCTGCAGTCCAAGACTTCTCTCTCTGGCTCTTTTGATTTTATTTTAAACTAGAGGAGAGGCCCAGTGCATGAATTCATGCATGGGTGGGGTCCCTAGGCCTGCCCAGCAACAGGGCTGATTGGGGCCAGGCTGATCGGGGCCTGCCAGCCGGGGGGAGGAACGGGAGGGCACGAGGGATGAGGTGCGGGAGGTTGGCTGCTGGTCCCCGAGGAGGGAGCTGGCCCTTGGCCCCCCTGGGAAAGGGGTCGCGTCTGCCGCCACCCACCCCTGTTTCCCCGTCCCAGCCCAGGGCCCAAAGGCCCCAGCGGGGTTGGGAGAGGAGGTGACAGTCGCCAGGTCGGGCGTGGAAGGAACGAATGCTGGATGCCCATGCCGCGTGGTTCCCCCCACCCCTTCTCATAGCAACTAGCTGACCAGTCGTTCCGTACTAACGGTTGCTTAGGCTTTTATATATATAGATTTTTATGGATTCCAGAGAGAGGAAGGGAGAGAGAGAAACATTGACAAGAGAGAGAAACATGGATCAGTTGCTCTCACACACGTCCCGAATGGGGATCGAACCTGCAACCCAGGCATGTGCCCTGACCGGGAATCAAACCTGCCACCCTCTGGTCTATGGTTTGATGCTCCAACCAACTGAGCCACACGGACTTCTCTGGCTCTTCTTAAAGGCAACCCTTGATTCTGCAACCTGTGCCTTCCACATGTCCTCACAACAGCTCACACTTGCTGTGTGCTGGATTTTACACATCATCAGCCCATCTGATCCTTGGAATAGCCATGGGGAGTGGGCAGTGCTGTTATTTCTATCTTGCAGATGAGGAAACCGAGGCCCAGCGACAGAAGGGCCTTGCCCAAGGCCACACAACAGCCAGTTGGTGGCAGAGCAGCTTGGAGCCCAGACAACAGGCTCCCACGTCCATACTCCTGCCCCCCACCTGACACTGTACCTCTTACAAAGCAGTCTGAGGTCTCCCCGAGGCCTAGCCCACACCGGGTGGGTATGGGAGTCCTCGCGCTCACTGTCATGGCCTAGAGCAGTGATGGCGAACCTTTTGAGCTCGGCGTGTCAGCATTTTGAAAAACCCTAACTTAACTCTGGTGCCGTGTCACCTATAGAAATTTTTTGATATTTGCAACCATAGTAAAACAAAGACTTATATTTTTGATATTTATTTTATATATTTAAATGCCATTTAACAAAGAAAAATCAACCAAAAAAATGAGTGTCATAGGTTCGCCATCACTGGCCTAGAGTGTGGGCCAACCTCTGTTCTATCCCAACTCGTTCACTTCTTGAACAATCTGGTCAGGCTGGGATCATGACTGCTCCCATTATACAGATGGGAAAACAGAGGCCTGGGGAAGCTGTCATACTAGAAAATGGTTCTGTCGGGCTGTCGCCATCACATACACTCACTCAAGAGACCAGAGGGGGCAAAAGACAGCATTCAGGTTGCCCTATTCATTTAACACCAGATTAGATGCAGATGCAGGAACCGAAGTCCCCCCGACAGCACAGGCCTGGCTCCCCAGGCCCAAGCCAGAACCCCGAATCTACCCAACACTTAATAATAAAAGAAGCTGGCTTCCCTGGGGGGCCTCCCAATGGCTAAGGCGCCGGCACCATCTTCCTCACTTTGTTTTTGTATTTTTACCTGCAAAAGGCCTTGGTGGTGTTTCGTGGGCAGAGGAGAGACAGGGTGTTTTATTTTTAGATTTGTCTTTCTGAGGGCACACAGGAAGAAGGCAGGCCCAGGAGAATTTCTCACTTCTCCGGCGCGTGAGTAGGTCACGAATCGACACCTTAGAAGACAGACTGACCTGGTTTAAGTCTCAGCGATGCCACTTACCAGCTACGTGACCCTCTAGTTTGATTAGCCCCTCTCGGCCTCAGGCCCCTCATCTTTGAACTGGGAATAGTGGTAGCAGGACCTTCCCTATAACTTGGAGATGAAAGTCAACATCCTGGTGCTGATGTGCGCTGTAACCACGGGTGAGGTAGCCTGTTTCTCACCCATAATAGGGGCTTGGGAAACTCACCGAGTTACTGTGAGGAACAAATGTGAGTGAGCTGAGGGCTACAGGATTCCTCCCGGTAGGGCCTTGACGTCCAGTGGAATTTGCCCCTGAGGGTTTAGAACTTGCTTGGGACCAGTGACCCTTTATTCCTGCCAATTTCTCCCCTTTGGACTAAGAATGTCTACCCCTTGCCTGTCTCAACATTATATTTTGGAAGCAGACAACTTGTTTCTAGTTTCCAGGTTCACAGGTGGAGGGGGATTTTGCTCCAAATGGGTCATATTCAGAGCCTCACTCATTCCCGGCTTAGGTGATGAGATCTGGGATTGTGGAGCTGATGCTGTAATAGATTAAGACTTTTGGGGATACCGGGATGGGGAGAATGTATTTTGCACATGGGATTGGCGTGAATTTTGGGGTGGAGTTAGAGGCTGGACTACAGTGGGTTGAATGGGGAAGAGAGTGACCAAAGAACATATATGCATAGATGCATAACCCATGGACACAGACAATAGGATGGTGAAGGCCTGGGGTTGGGTGGAGGGGAACAAAAAGGGAGAAAACGGGAGACATCTGTAATACTGTCAACAATAAAATATAATGAAAAAAACAACAACTTTATGTCCACCTGGAACCTGAGACTGTGACCTTAATTGGAAAAAAGGTCTTTGCAGATGTAATTAAATTAGGATCACGAGATGAGATTGTCCTGGAGTAGGGTGGGCCCTAAATCCAATGACAAGTGTCCTTAGAAGAGAAGGGGAGAAGGCACGCAGAGAAGGCCCTGTGAAGACGGGGCAGGGATCGGAGGGAGGTGTCTACAGCCAAGGGACGCGGGACCCAGGACTGCCGGCAGCCCCGGGACACGAACCCTGTGCCCGGATGGTGGGCGTCAGCTGTAATGTGTGGGTTAAGTGAAAGAAATTCGGAACCAATATTTCTCCAATGACTTGCACAGCCCACAAATGGGTTCCTAATTCCAACCCACTGCTGGTGCTTTTGTAGAAGTTGTCCATGAAAACCTGGCTGGGAATATTCCCTCATTTATATATATAGTGGCCCGGTGCATGAATTCGTGCACATTGGAAGGAAATTAATTAGGAGAAATATTTTAATACCGCTATTGGCCCTTTCTCTATCATCTAAGTGTCAACCAAAATCATGATTGACAATGACAGATCGAAACACATGCGTGTGATTGGCACCAGCGAGAGCTTTATATATATTGCACATGCGTGAGTCAACTTAGCCTTTTATATATATAGAACACACTTGCTTAATTAGACCTGCTTTCTGATGTAGCCAAACTTTTTCCAGCCCAGTGAAGCACCCCAACTTCTCTTTCAGGTAACTGTCAGCAACATAGCAGTAAATATCAACATGAACAGATTATTATTGTAGGTCACGCAGGGAGAACAAAGGGTGAAATATTTAACTGCAGCAGTGTTTGACTATATTCTGCGCAGTGAGAAAACCTGAAGTCATTTTCAAGGCCCACCATTTCTTACTTCTTTTCAGTTGGGTCAAGTTCCTAAGGTTTCTAAATCTCCGTTTTCCGGCTAATGAAAAGAAGATAGGATTCTACCTACTCCCAGACTTCTGTGAGGATCAAATGAGATGAGGCACGGGAAAATGCTTCACAGACATTTGGTTGCAGTGTAAAATGTTTGCACCTGGCTATAAAGCAAGTTGTGTTCCTGGGCTGAAGAAAGTGCAAGGAGGCTAGTTGCTAGG